GGATCCAGCGACTAAACTAGATATAAGAAGTTGTCCTGGGCCAGTTCATCCAGAGCCGCCTTCACCCGTCTGTTAAGTACGTTTAAGTCATGTCTGTAAACGCTAGAAGTGTTTGTTGGTGGAGTGGAGGTTAAGGTAATACGCTCTGATTGGCTGATTATTAGAGTATAAAGACGATATCTGACAGCGAAAAGAACAGAGGTGTATCTAGAGAAAAAGACTTAACTTTGTATATACTCCAAATTTCAATCAACGGTTTGTTTCGTTATCGATAAAGCAGGCTTTTAATCGGAATCTGGCCTCTACCATCTGTAGGCTGACGTCACAATTAATCAAAGAGGATAAAAAGGCTTCTTGATCGTTAGTCTTAGTTCAGTTTTCTACCACTAGATGCTCATAATCAGAGAGAATTTTTCAATGAAGACAGATGGCAAATTTTTGGCTACTGTATTCCCATCTAGTGACCACTAGTGACGATGATGAATGATAGATAAAATTTCTTTGGCAGCCGTGCTTCTCTGCTTCTATGAGGTATAGGTTATAAAACCTATAATGTTTATTGTTTATTGATAAATATAATATGGAAGATTGTAAAGAAATATTTTGCAGGCTCTGCTTTAGTACTGTATATAATGGAAATTTTACAATAATAGACGAATCTACAAGGGAAATTTTAAAGACAGTTTCACTGAATCTGGTGCGTTTAAGTTGTATCTTGTCAGCATAACTATTCAAAAATCATTTTACACTTTCAAACTTTCATTATAAAAATATATTTCAGAACTTGGGCAACTATAAACATATCATATGTTCTACATGTTCTGTTAAACTGTACTCTGCATTTGACTTTAAATGCAGTTGTCTATACGTTGAGGACAAAATTGGTTCATATGTTAATCCCAAAATGCCTTTTGTCGATTTAAGAGAAGTTTATTTAAAGGAACAGGAGAACAAAGCCATGATTAAAATAGAGGCTGACCAGAAAATATGTCGATTATGTTTGCAGTTAGTTAGCCAAGGATTTGTGTCGTTTCATGAAGAGAAGTTAAAGATAGTTCATAGATATATCCCAGAAGTGGTAAATATCCATTTTACTTACATTCTAAAATTTGAAAACATCGATAGCCTTGTTTATATATAATATAATTAGACAACTAGTGAAATTTAGGATTGAGTAAGTACCAGATGAACCTCCATATAAATCTGTCATCTTTATTCATAGCACAAATAGGGATGACAAGAATTTTACAGAACTGTCGCTAGTATTTACAATCTAAGTTTGACTCGTTATCTTATAACTATATTATATAGCCAAGGTCAATACCTTTATCAACTTTTGTTTTGTAGAATTTTGGATGTACCGAGGATCCCCTCATTTGTAGACAATGTTTTAATTCGTTAAGCCTTCACGATACTTTCATAAAGACCTGTTTAGATGTCGAGACGCAGATTCACAGTATAGGTGGCAACAAAATCGCCAGTGACACCTTCATTAAAAGCGAAGAGAATGAAGTAAAATTAGAAGATGAACAGATGGACGGTATTGTTAAAATTAAAAAAGAGTCGGAAGCAGATAAAATGCTAATAAAAACGGAAGAAATTGATATAAAATTTGAAGGAGAGGAATGGAAAAGGTGAGGAAGTTGAGAGGAATTTAGGTGCCTATATTAGATAAGACATATTTTGAGAAATTTTCTTTGGAGATGTTTATGAAATTTTTTGCCACATACATACTTAATCTACCAAAGATCTGCGGCTCAATCAAAATACTAATTTTTGACGTTTGATTTGCTTTTTTGTTTTATTCTTAAATATTTCTAATTTATATTTAAATAGTGCTGAGAAGTATTCTTAACGATATTAAAATTACTAGACCTCTAAAAATACTGCTCAAGGTCTTTTCACCTTTTATGGGCTTCTGAAATACTTCAATCTCAGTTTCGATTTGAGCACTGATTTCATCCGTACACTCAATAATAAAGGCATTTGGACTTTCCGTTATTTAAATCATCATTAGTTGTTTTGTTCTTAATGGCATATCTTTTTCTATATCGCATTAACACCTATAGCAATAGCAGATTAAATCTACATTTTAGGAAACAGTTTTATTTATGTTACATGCAATAAATCCATATTAATTCATCGAATACTGTAATGCTGTTAAGAAATGTGTATATACCAGTTATAATATTGATTCTATTCGACAATTTTTACCTTTTCAGTGACTCCTGTTCATCCAACTTACGTAATGAAATAATTGAAAATAAAATAAAACTCACTTACGAAGAGGCAGTCAAAATAAACAATGAATACTTGCATATATGCGAGTCAGGCCTTCAAATAAGCAAATGTGATGCTCCATTAGATGTATCATCGCATAATAGTGGATACAAAACTGAGCTTAAAAGTGGTTTAAAACAGGGAACTGTAAACGAAGACCCTTTGGATATCAAAATGTACAAATGTGATGCTTGTACCTATGAAGCTAAATATAGAAGGCTTCTGAGAGTGCATCAGCTAGTGCACAAAGATCCTTCAGAAATAAAATTGTACAAGTGCGAATCGTGTACTTATGAAACTAAGTATAAGAGCGATTTAAAAGGCCATCAGTTAATACACAAAGACCCTTCGGAAATCACAATGTACAAGTGTGATGCTTGTACTTTTACAACGAAATTTAAACGTCATCTGAAAAAGCATCAATTGATTCACAAAGACATTTCGGAAATCCAGATGTATAAATGTGATACTTGTGCTTACGAAACTAGGTATAAGAGATATCTAAAAGTGCACCAGTTATCGCACAAAGATCCTTCCGAAATCAAAATGTACAAATGTGATTCTTGTCCTTATGAGACTAAATATAGGTGTCACCTGAAAGCACATCAGTTGGCACACAAAGACCCCTCAGAAATTAAAATGTACAAATGTGATTCTTGTACTTATGAAACTAAAAATAGGAGCCATTTGAAATCGCATCAGCGATCACATAAGGATTCTTCAGAAATACAAATGTACAAATGTGAATTGTGTATTTTTGAAACTAAGTATAAGAATCATTTGAAAAGGCATCAGTTGTCGCACAAAGACCCTTCGGAAATCCAAATGTACAAGTGTGATGTTTGTCCTTACGAAACTAAATATAAGAGTCATGTAAATAAACATCGGGTAATACACAAAAACGTCTCGGAAATCCAAATGTACAAGTGTTATACTTGTACCTATGAAACTAGATATAAGAAGAATCTCAATCATCATCAATCTACACATAGGAAATAAGGAATGTGAGACATTTGATTAAACGCTCTAAATAAACCTTGGGGCGATAAATAAATGGTCTTCGAAAATTCGAGCATTCTAATGTAACGAATGTGTTTAATAGAGTTTAAAAATTGCTGAAACTCCAAGGATCCTCAAGAGTTTAAATGTACAAATAAGATAAATAAAACAGCCCAGATAGGCATTAAATAATACATTGAAAACTAACTTCAGATGCAGAAAATATATAACTGGCCAAGTGTAGGTAACTAATTAAACAGCAAATTTTGTATATACTGATTGGAGGCAAAAAACCTTCGAAAATCTACAATAATGTGATTTTATTCACCAATATTTTTGTATGGAATGCAAAATGTTATTAAGAAATATTTGTCTGAATGGAAAACAGAGAAAATTGAAAGAAAATTTCAATGTTTTAAGTCTACCTTGATTTTGTATTTGCTTTCAGATTTTTTCACTAATAAAGTGGGTTTTTTAAAGTCAATACGATAAAATATTAAGAAAGGTTACCTAGAAAGAAAAATTAAGTGTATGCAAGATTTTAATGTGCTGTGCTTACTTTGAGAAAAATCTAAAAAGGTATAATATGAACGTCCTACTAATTTTTTTTTTTGACGTTTTGTGGTATCTCCTACAGAATGAGCGAACCATCTGAAATTAAGCAAAAAATCAAAGTAGGTTAGTTGCAATTTTGCATACTTGTTAAGTTTTGTATTCTGAGAAACTTCTGAAGTGAAGAAATGAACACTATTCAAGATAATCATGGTACTTTCGGTATATTTAATTATGCACCTGATAGATACATTTGCAAAATTTCAGCATATTTCACCACATAATATTTGAGTTATGCTTAATTAAAGTTGACTACTTTTCAATATGTTTGGCATAGGTTACGATGAAAAAGTTGCTGTAGCTAAATAACTCCGTTCAAGAAACTGCTCAAACTTAAGGCAAGACTAATTTGTATAGAAATACGAACAGCTAAGATAAAGATATTAATACCCAAACTTTTGAAAAGTTTTGAAGCGCTATGAAGAAAGGTTAGTTGTTAGTTTGCTTGCATGCTGACATTTTACAAAATTTTGAACTAAAATTTTTTCGCTTCAGTTTGCGTTTTTCTTTTAAAGGAACTAATAACATAAATCAAATAAGGGCAATTCTTGCAATTTTTTTTAAATCATACTCCATCAATATCTCTCTCTTAAACAGCAGCTACAATTTATTAATACTTACAATAAAAATTTTGTTAAAAAAAATTGTGTTTCTTTCCTAATTAAAATTTCGTAAAATGTACAGTTGGTGATCACCATAACTGTTTAAAATCAATGTTGTAGGGTTAAATGAGAAAATATAGTATGTATAAGTTAAAATTAACAATATTGGAAGAATATTCATTTATGCTTTAACTACAAATTATTTTTAAAACGAAGAATGTCACCTGTTTTTTAGACATAAGACATATATTATTTTAATGTTTTTTCTTAATACATAAAGTACAATGGGAAACTTGCACATATTTTTAAATCTGTGTTCCTTCTAAAATTCAAAGTCATCTAAATGGACCTTGCTCGATCGATTGGAGATGTTTTCAACTTTCGGTTCCGACTGGAAGCAGTACAAAACCATTTAAAAATGTAATAAATTTTGACTGAATTTTTTTTATTGTACCCCTAATTATCTGTATTGGCGATATTGCTTTTCAGAAATAAACCGTTTGCAGATTATTCTTAACGCACAGTTGATGTTTACTCGTGCACAAATTTTGACATTTTTATCTTCATCGATTTAAACACAATTAAGGAAAACCATTTGGAAAGTAACGACTTCAACGCATTGTATGTTGAAAGCAGGACGTCTAAGAAAAAAACATTACATGAATTACCCCCATTTTTTCCCATGAGGAACTTGTATAAAAGTTTTTCTGAAACATGAATGGGGCACCTTGTATATTTCAATTTTTGTTCAGATAGTCATGTACGTGTATGAAACGTGTATTGGAATTGTCAACAATTTGTAATCAAACCAGTTCTTAGCTGCATCAAATAAAAGACATGTTAATTCCAAATTATTTATTAATATGTAAGAGTGAAACTGAATTTCCAAATGTAACTAAACTAATCTTGGTAAATGTGGACCATCATTGTTTACATAAAAATGAAATACAGATGTATATAAGTCTATTAGATGTGTCTTGAAATAGTAAAACACTGTTTTTCTGTATCATAAACATTAAAATCGATGTCACATTTAAAAAGTAATTATGTTTAATACTTCACATTTTAGTAAAAAGTTAATTATTTTTCCGAGTTAGAATATTAGAAGTCAGACTAATTACTCTTTATCAAAATGCTAATGAAACAAGTAAATGTAGTAAATGTTCAGTGCAATACAACTTTTTAGATTTTTTACTTTGCGTTTAGGTACAGATTATGCTTAAAAATGTCTACAACAAACCTGTGCTGTATTCCCACAGAACTTCTTTCTAACATGCCTGACTCGTTCAAAGTTGCAGTTCCTTAGTTCCTTAAACCCACTTATAAAAAAAAAATTGTAAAAAAAAGTGTAAGTTCTTGCTGATTTGTATTATACTATGCCAGTTGTTGCAATTTTACCTTAACAATGACCTTGAATGTCAACTTTATAATTTTAAATGAGACCTTCTATTTTTTATCCTAGGAATAGATTCGGCAGAAAATTTTACATCTGGATGTGATCTCAACTTTGATCTTGCGGTCAAGTTCAAAGTCAAAGCGAATTCAAATGACTTGTTACCCCTGAAGCAACATCGGAATAAGATGTTTGCCCCCAAAGTCCATGGGATTTTTATCAAGTTACTCAATCGTGACTTTCACTCTACGTTCAAGGTCATTTGTAAGTCTACTAGTTATGAATAAGTACAGGGAGGACGAAAAAATGTCTCGTTACTCAACGCAGGCATAATTCTGATTGAGAATTGAAAGACATTTGAGTAAGTTACAGAATAAGTGACCGTTAAAATATGAAAAAAAATTTAAAATATCACTATTTGTGGATCATTGAATTACGAGATAATTTCCTTACTATTCCAGGATTGCTGACCTGGACTTTGATCGCAAAGATAAAATTGAGATCACATCCGGATATAAAGTTTACTTACGAATCCATTTCCAGGGTAAAAAATAGAGGGTCCCATTTAAAATTATGAAACTGACCTTCAATTGACCTTCAAGGTCAATGAACTGAACAACTTTCGCTTAGGATCGAAGGCTTCACTGACGAGATATTCCCTTGTATCGATTAAAATGGGACACGTGATTTGATGGCATTTTATGTGGTAAGCATGTATTAACATTGACGAATTTGTGTACTTATTTTTTCACTTTTTTCTTTTCAGTACCTTTAACTGCATTTAATTAACAATTTCAATAAATTACTGTGTTCTAAAAAAATATTTATTTTCTGTGTATATCCCCAATCCATGCTAGAGGTCGTTCGCAAGAGAAAAGAGTGAGACGTATGGAGCCTCAAATTTTGGATACAGTCAAAGATTCAGAAATCTCATCTAGAATATTTTAGCGTGATTTTACTCTCTTGAATGTTTCAATTTCTCGAGCGTATTTGTGTCTTAATTGATGTTCTTCTAGGTCACTCTTATATTTACTTTCGTAAGGACAAGTATCGCACTTGTACATTTGGATTTCCGAAAGATCTTTGTGTTTTAACAGATGCACCCTCAGATGATCCTTATATTTAGTTTTGAAACTGCAAGTATCGCACTTGTACATTTCGATTTCTGATGGGTCTTTGTGAGATAACTGATGCCTTTTCAAACGACTCCTATTTTTGCTTTCGTAATTACACGATTCGCACTTAAACATCTTGACTTCTGAAGGGTCTTTATGTTGTAACTGATGCACTTTTAGATCACCCTTATATTTAGTTTCATAAGTACACTTATCACACTTGTACATTTGGACTTCTGAAGGGTCTTTGTGTGACAACTTATGCTTATTTAGATGACACTTATATTTAGTTGCATAAGCACATGTATCACACTTGTACATCTGCACTTCTGACGAATCTTTGTGTTTTAACATATGTGTATTTAAACTGCTTTTAAAATCAGTTGAATAACTACACTCCTCACACTTGTACATTTTAATTTCTGAAGGGTCCTTATGCTTTATTTGATGCATTTTAAGACTACTCTTAAGTTTAGTTTCATAACTACATGTATCACACTTGTACATTTGGATTTCCGAAGGGTCTTTGTGCTTTAACTGATGCCTTTTCAAGTGATTCTTATATTTAGCTTCAAAACTACACACTTCACACTTCCACATTTGAATTTCTGAAGGGTCTTTATGCATTATTTGATGGAGTTTTAGACGACTCTTGTACTTAGTTTCGAAAGGACAAACATCACATTTGTACATTTGGATTTCCAAGGGGTCTTTGTGTATTAACTGATGCTTATTTAGATCACCTTTAAATTTAGTTTCATAAGTACATGAATCACACTTGTACATTTCCACTTCTGAGAGATCTTCACATATTGCTGGATATCTAATCAAATTTTTTATGTAATTGGTTTCAAAACCACAGGCATCGCACTTGCACGTTTGCACTACTGAAGGGTTATCCTGTGAGAGTCGATAGCTTTCCAGACTCGTCTTAAGCTTAGTTTCATATTTACAATTATCACATTGGTAGAATTGCTCATCTTGAAATCTAAACTCTTCACTTTCGTGTATTTCAATGTTGTGAACAGACATCGATGTCGTAACATTTTCATTAAATCCGGTCATACATTTAACCATGTGTTCATGTTTTATTTCTCCTGTATTACCTGAAATACGGCTTCTTTTGTTTTCAACTGTTTCGTCATTAAAGTCGTATGAAGCGGAATAACTGAAAAAAAAAAATTATAAAATAAACAAATCAAAATAAGCATTTAGAAAAATCAACTAGCAGGCTTTTGTTTCTAAAAGTTTGATTGCTATTTTATGTTCTATTTGGTAGGACCAGCTTGATGTTGTGTAGTATGAGCTACTTCAACTGAATGAAACCATCATTGGTGAACGCTACCGAACACGNTTGAATAATATCGTTTCTTGAAAGCTACCTAGGTCCAATTGCACAAAATTATCTGCAGATTTATGTTCAACAAATTGGAAAATTAAGAGTGGGCATACACTACACATTTTCTTGAGTTTTCCGCTGTGGTAAATATTTTCCCAAGAAATATACTTACCACTTGTGGTATATATGTATGAATTATGTCAACGTCCACTTCATTTAGTGATACAAATCCAAATGTTACCAACTGAATACATAATCGACAAATTCTCTCATTTTCAGATACATCGAATAAGCGGATATTTCCTTTCTCCTTTAGATATATTTCTTTTATGTCAACCTGTGATGTTTTACTGGAAGTGACATAAGGAAAAATAATAAAAATCTAATAAAAAGATCTAGCTAGTTGGAGTAGATCTAGTGCCACTAAATAAATTAACAAACAATAAAAGGAATAATTGAATCTTACTATTTTTGGCAAAACCTCTTCGTGAGCGTTTCTTACGACTTCCCCTATAATTTCTTAGTTTCTATCGTTTTCGATATTAAAACAGCTTACAAAATGGTTCTTTAAAGTTTCCCGGCTGCATGTTTTCTATTTTCTTCCTAGGAAGGAAATATTCCAAAATTACAAGAATGTTTACCAAACAATTAGTAGTAATACATAACCTACATTCGATCATTTGTCCCATAGGCCTTAAAATTCCTTATTCTTCTTCTTCTTCTTTTCTTTTTGGTCATCACCGACATGGTAGATAGCCAGCTGACCTTAAAAGCTAATTTGAATTATTACTTTTTGAAGCACAGCCATATATATAATACTACACATATATGATAACAGCACATCTAGTTAGTGATTAAAGTTTTATAAAAATTTAATCTTTCAAGATATGTGGCGTCACCTAATATNTGAAATACAGATGTATATAAGTCTATTAGATGTGTCTTGAAATAGTAAAACACTGTTTTTCTGTATCATAAACATTAAAATCGATGTCACATTTAAAAAGTAATTATGTTTAATACTTCACATTTTAGTAAAAAGTTAATTATTTTTCCGAGTTAGAATATTAGAAGTCAGACTAATTACTCTTTATCAAAATGCTAATGAAACAAGTAAATGTAGTAAATGTTCAGTGCAATACAACTTTTTAGATTTTTTACTTTGCGTTTAGGTACAGATTATGCTTAAAAATGTCTACAACAAACCTGTGCTGTATTCCCACAGAACTTCTTTCTAACATGCCTGACTCGTTCAAAGTTGCAGTTCCTTAGTTCCTTAAACCCACTTATAAAAAAAAATTGTAAAAAAAAGTGTAAGTTCTTGCTGATTTGTATTATACTACGCCAGTTGTTGCAATTTTACCTTAACAATGACCTTGAATGTCAACTTTATAATTTTAAATGAGACCTTCTATTTTTTATCCTAGGAATAGATTCGGCAGAAAATTTTACATCTGGATGTGATCTCAACTTTGATCTTGCGGTCAAGTTCAAAGTCAAAGCGAATTCAAATGACTTGTTACCCCTGAAGCAACATCGGAATAAAATGTTTGCCCCCAAAGTCCATGGGATTTTTATCAAGTTACTCAATCGTGACTTTCACTCTACGTTCAAGGTCATTTGTAAGTCTACTAGTTATGAATAAGTACAGGGAGGACGAAAAAATGTCTCGTTACTCAACGCAGGCATAATTCTGATTGAGAATTGAAAGACATTTGAGTAAGTTACAGAATAAGTGACCGTTAAAATATGAAAAAAAATTTAAAATATCACTATTTGTGGATCATTGAATTACGAGATAATTTCCTTACTATTCCAGGATTGCTGACCTGGACTTTGATCGCAAAGATAAAATTGAGATCACATCCGGATATAAAGTTTACTTACGAATCCATTTCCAGGGTAAAAAATAGAGGGTCCCATTTAAAATTATGAAACTGACCTTCAATTGACCTTCAAGGTCAATGAACTGAACAACTTTCGCTTAGGATCGAAGGCTTCACTGACGAGATATTCCCTTGTATCGATTAAAATGGGACACGTGATTTGATGGCATTTTATGTGGTAAGCATGTATTAACATTGACGAATTTGTGTACTTATTTTTTCACTTTTTTCTTTTCAGTACCTTTAACTGCATTTAATTAACAATTTCAATAAATTACTGTATTCTAAAAAAATATTTATTTTCTGTGTATATCCCCAATCCATGCTAGAGGTCGTTCGCAAGAGAAAAGAGTGAGACGTATGGAGCCTCAAATTTTGGATACAGTCAAAGATTCAGAAATCTCATCTAGAATATTTTAGCGTGATTTTACTCTCTTGAATGTTTCAATTTCTCGAGCGTATTTGTGTCTTAATTGATGTTCTTCTAGGTCACTCTTATATTTACTTTCGTAAGGACAAGTATCGCACTTGTACATTTGGATTTCCGAAAGATCTTTGTGTTTTAACAGATGCACCCTCAGATGATCCTTATATTTAGTTTTGAAACTGCAAGTATCGCACTTGTACATTTCGATTTCTGATGGGTCTTTGTGAGATAACTGATGCCTTTTCAAACGACTCCTATTTTTGCTTTCATAATTACACGATTCGCACTTAAACATCTTGACTTCTGAAGGGTCTTTATGTTGTAACTGATGCACTTTTAGATCGCCCTTATATTTAGTTTCATAAGTACACTTATCACACTTGTACATTTGGACTTCTGAAGGGTCTTTGTGTGACAACTTATGCTTATTTAGATGACACTTATATTTAGTTGCATAAGCACATGTATCACACTTGTACATCTGCACTTCTGACGAATCTTTGTGTTTTAACATATGTGTATTTAAACTGCTTTTAAAATCAGTTGAATAACTACACTCCTCACACTTGTACATTTTAATTTCTGAAGGGTCCTTATGCTTTATTTGATGCATTTTAAGACTACTCTTAAGTTTAGTTTCATAACTACATGTATCACACTTGTACATTTGGATTTCCGAAGGGTCTTTGTGCTTTAACTGATGCCTTTTCAAGTGATTCTTATATTTAGCTTCAAAACTACACACTTCACACTTCCACATTTGAATTTCTGAAGGGTCTTTATGCATTATTTGATGGAGTTTTAGACGACTCTTGTACTTAGTTTCGAAAGGACAAACATCACATTTGTACATTTGGATTTCCAAGGGGTCTTTGTGTATTAACTGATGCTTATTTAGATCACCTTTAAATTTAGTTTCATAAGTACATGAATCACACTTGTACATTTCCACTTCTGAGAGATCTTCACATATTGCTGGATATCTAATCAAATTTTTTATGTAATTGGTTTCAAAACCACAGGCATCGCACTTGCACGTTTGCACTACTGAAGGGTTATCCTGTGAGAGTCGATAGCTTTCCAGACTCGTCTTAAGCTTAGTTTCATATTTACAATTATCACATTGGTAGAATTGCTCATCTTGAAATCTAAACTCTTCACTTTCGTGTATTTCAATGTTGTGAACAGACATCGATGTCGTAACATTTTCATTAAATCCGGTCATACATTTAACCATGTGTTCATGTTTTATTTCTCCTGTATTACCTGAAATACGGCTTCTTTTGTTTTCAACTGTTTCGTCATTAAAGTCGTATGAAGCGGAATAACTGAAAAAAAAAAATTATAAAATAAACAAATCAAAATAAGCATTTAGAAAAATCAACTAGCAGGCTTTTGTTTCTAAAAGTTTGATTGCTATTTTATGTTCTATTTGGTAGGACCAGCTTGATGTTGTGTAGTATGAGCTACTTCAACTGAATGAAACCATCATTGGTGAACGCTACCGAACACGACTGTATTGTATGATGGAAAAACGGCCGCAGTTTGAGCAAAGGCACGATAAAGTAATTTTTCAATATGACAACGCTCGACAACATGTTACTCAGGAAGTCAAAAATACTTGCAAAAGCTGAAATGGGATGTTTTACCCAATCCGCTACAGTAGTGTCTTGCAATGGACAATATTTTGAGATATAATTTTTCACAATAAAGCCTTGAATTTACAAAAAAAATCCTTCACAATTAATTCACAGTTCTAGTAATAAACTTTATTTCCCTTGAAGACAAATATTGTATAGGAATATGGCCACCTTTTTTTAATATTTAATATAATTTAAAACTATCTACTCTTATCTTATTTATTAGACGTTTTAGGAAACAAACAATTCATTTAAAGCATAAAATGCTTTTTCTATTAAATATTTGTGGAGCTTTTTCTTAAATATTATAAAATTAGTTGAGTTCTTCATCTCAAAAGCTGTTTATTAAAATCATTTAAAGCTAAATGAAAGGGATAATCGCAAGATACTTTATATTTACGGAAAGGAACATGAAATTTATTATTTTGCCAAGTGAGTTTATTATGTATCTTTTTGTTTATCTTAAAAGTGGACTTATTTCTGAAATCTTATACTGACAATTTAGAGATAAACAAACAGTTAAAATATTTAAAATTTGTCCACATGAATGATCACAAGACATTCCAGCATTATATAATATGTTTTTGTCAAATAAAAACATCTGATACAAAGGAGGAATTTCCTGAAAAAACACATCTCAATCCGGAACTTACATATTTCCTGGTCAGGCGTTCATCAATTGTTACTCCCAAAAATTTAATTTCATTTTATAACGTAAAATATTAGTCACTTAAATTTAAACTTAATTGGGCACAATGTTTTGACTGTTATGGAACCTTGAGTTTTGAGGTTTTTCAGGATCGAGATAGCGGTGGTTGGAGTTTAATAAAGCATTAGTTGTTGTTTCTAAAAACTCTTAGTTTTAGAAATATTTCCGAACAAATATTTTTAAGACTTTTTTTTAGTCATTTTAAGAGACCCTTTACAAAATTTCCTTACCTTTCCTGATCATCTTTTATTTCAATCTCTTCAGATTTAATATACGGCTGATTTTCAAAACTTTTACATTTTTCCTGAACATTTTGACTGTTCTCCGGCTCTTTTTCAATGTCTTCAATCTTAATGTGGCACTGCTTATCAACATATTTATTTATCTCCAGTGCATCCGAACCATCTCCTTCCAGTTTTATTTCGATATCTTCAGATTTAATATAAAACTGCATACCAACATTTTCATAGTTCTCACGCCCATACTGACCATTTTCCACTTTTATTTCAGTCCCCACGGTTTCAATGTAAGATGGGGTATCACCATTTTTATATTTCTCCCCTGTGTCTTGGCCATCTTCTTCCAGTTTTATTTTCATCTCTTCAATTTTAATGCAAGATTGTTTATCCATGTCTTTAAAAACCACAGTTTGCGTATAACGAGGTCCCTGGTGGTACTGACGCTCTACAATAAAAGGAACATTAATAATGTTAATTTCTGACAGAACATCTATCGTTTTTTCAGAAACTGAAGAAAAATAACTAAAAGTAGGAATTTTTAAATGAGCAGAAAAAAGAGTATTCATTAAATGTGAGTTAAATATAACCTATAAAGTTATAATCGCATCCTAAATGTCAAATATAGGCCGCATTTTTTCATATTTAAGTTAGGTTGAGTAATTCAGGACACCCTGTATGCTTGTCAAGAAAGGATAAAGTTTTAGGTCTATTTAGGCTGAGTTGGGGTGGCAACAGCTCCCAAACAGCGCCTTGTTAGATGACAAAATTGACAACAGTACATGACTATCTTGATAAAACATGTTATTGATTATTATTTATTTCATTAATCTAAATGGGAGGAAAGGCATAATTGAAAAAGATATCAGGAAATGCAAATAATGTGTCAAATATGAAAAATAGTATAATTTGAGAAATATATTTTTCTAGGACCGGCAGGTTCGGCTATTTTTGTTATTTAATTGAAATGGACGGAACATGCAATAAAAAAATGACAAAAATTTCAAAAAACAAGGCACGTTTGATCATTTCAATAGGTGTAACCAATGGGAGGCTAGGGTTTGTGACATCAGTTGATAGATGAAAGCTTCGCTAGCTAGTTAGCATATTTACTGTTGTGTTTGATCTTTATTATAGTTTACGCGGTAGAACTTTATGGTTTATTGAAGAAGCAATATACTGGCAATAAAGTGGTGTTTTGTACCAAAATACTAATACATTAAAACTCCTTTAAAATTTTGTGTTAATGTCCCGTTAACCCTGAAAAGACAAGAAAGATGGTTTGCAGTAGCTAGGAGAAATGTTAAAGAAGTATCTCCAATATCGGCTACCTACTGCTGTGAAGATCAGTTTGTCAGCTGTCAGCTTTTATTTCCTTAATAAAATGATAAGTAATTTGACACATTTGAGTATGTGTAGAGCTTGTGTGGGAGGTTAGATCAATTGGAAATTGTTTTATAGATCTCCCTGTAGGGAGAACCATAGATGGGAGAACTTTATTTTGGCAATTACATATTATTGTTTTACAAAAGTCTTTTAACAGATATGTTGTATAAGCGCTGTAAATTAATTTGATTACGGGTTTAGAAAACTATACTTACAAAATGCAGAATTTGTAAATAGGATTGATTCGAGTGTGGTGTAAGTGTATAGAGTTTAGATTTCTGAATAATCTTTTCTCGTAATCCAATTTCAATTGTACAAAATTAACTACGGATTCGGCAAATTTGACGTATTGTTTATATATAATCTTTAATATGACATGTACTGTCAAATTCAGGGTGTGTAATATAAGAAAAAGAAATAACTATAAAGCTTCATCTGCCACTGATTTTATAGCTGCGTCGTGTATATCTAAGGCACAAATGAAGTTTTCTATCCTGGGTCTAAGGCTTGTTTTGGTTCTGTCAGCGGACAGTCCTAGAATTAGTGATGGGAGATTTCGAGTGGTACTCGATTATTGAGATCACTCGAGATGTTTACTCCCACCACTCGAGTGATTATTACCCTACGGTTGCACCCCAAAATGTTAGTGCATACTGCAAATAGTCACTGATTGCGTAATCTTTTTTTTAGAATAAAACGAAAAAGTGGTTAGGTTTTGAAGTGCGTGAGCTTTTTTTTTTTTTTNAAGATGCAAGCGCCATCTAGTTGTACGCTCTACAACTATATACCTACCTACTCAATATTTGTTTTAGGTATTCTGCCGCCGCTAAATTTAAAATTACATAACAAATCTCACCCTACACAGATCACTCAGAAATTGATTTTGTAAAATAATTTTCACGTAGATAATTTTTTTTGTCACCATGAGAAAATAAGTACATTTGATAAAAAGCATTAAAATCACTCAAGCATTAAAGACACTTTTAAATGCTCTAATAGTCTTCCTACTTAAAATAAGAAATAATTTTGATACTGTAACTTTTTAAAATGTTTGTTGAAAAAATTTCAAATTTCAGTACATATTTTGAAAAAAAAGAGTGAAAATGATTATAGAGTTTCAGTGCTTTCTATATTGTATTAGCTTTCACGGTGAATAAAAAAATATTACAAGTAAATAATTTTACTAAACCAATCTTTGATTAATTCTTGTAATAGAGATTTATTATGCAACTTTAAATTTTTCGTTGTGTTGATATCCATAAAAAAAACTACCTACCTCTGATCACATTTTTTATTAAAGAAAACAAAAAAACAAAACATTTTATTATTAATAAAAAAATGTGATTATATGATGATCAGACATTATTATGTTATATAAATAAATGTGAATGAAATATCTAATAAAACTCACTAAAAACACACACCAACACTCGCCAAACCTAACCAACAATAAACAATAAACATGAACAAGAATGACATGAAATGATTCATAATTGCAATTGTCAAAATTTATTCTACAAAATCTTTGTGGCGACAACTATTGACTCTTTCCCCAACTTGTATATCCATCTCAAGTCACGTGGTTTCCAGTTTCCCCATATTTTCAAGTATAAGTTCTCGGGCCCTGGTTCCATCTATGTAATACCACATATCTGGTAATACTGCTATATTTGTCAAACCTTGAACGATTATAAAGTATTTCGTACTAATCAGATTAGTCTTTTTATTTTTTGTCGTGTTTTAAAACATAATTATTTTGAAATATAAATTAGTTTTTTTTTTTACAATTATTAGTAGCGTATCTACATACCAATATTGATTAATACTTAAAAAAACAATAAAAAATTATTTTTCAGATTCAATCACCATAAATACTAAAAACATGTAATCTTTACAATGTAATTATGTTCAATGGTTAACATTTTAATAAAACGTTTATTATTTTCTCAGTTTGAACAAAGAACATTAAAAGATCCTAATTACTATTTACCAAAATGCGAACAAAAGAAATCTATAGTAAATGTAGTACGTAGATGTTCTGTGCAATATAACTTGCATACTTTTTAGTTTTATTTTGTTTAGGTTTAAGCACATTATAATTAAAAATGTTATACTGCAACAAACCTGAGTTGTATATTGGTGTCTCAACATATCTGTATATACCTTCAATACCTTTTAACACGGTTGACTTGTCCAAAGTTACAATTCTTTACTAATCTTTGAGTTTCATATTGCAGGTTGAATTTAATTCTACTACTACTGCACTATGACGGTTGCTAGTTTTAAAAATAACCGATTTAAGGATTCAAGAGAAAATCAAAATTTAATTATGCAGTCATTTTAACACAAATTTTAACACAATGACAAAAGAAAGAAACATTAATTTCAGCAAATTTATTGCACGTAATAAGGTGTTTAAATTATAATAATCTGAGCTCACTTAAAATACCATCAAATTCTGCACTGAGCAGTGCAGAATTTGATGGTATTTTAAGTGAGCATGTATTAACGTGGACGTGTCTGTGCAGATTTATTTTTCACTTTTTTCTTTTAAGTACCTTTAACTGTATTTAATTAACATTTTAATTAACTCCAAATTCATGTTAGAAGTCGTATACAGGAAAGAAAAGTGGGACAAATAAAACCTCAAATTTTAGTTGTAGTCAAGGATCCAGGATCCAGGACCTCGTCTAGAACATTCACTGCTCAATTCTATATGTCCCAATCAACAGTATTAATAATAATAATAAATCGTCTTTATTAAGAACCCTACACTACAAAATATCATTTGTTTAGTGCAATTTCAGTCTTTGTGTATTAACTGGTGTTTATTTAGATCACTTTTATATTTAGTTTTGTAAGTACAAGTATCACACTTGTACATTTGGATTTGTGAAGGCTCTTTGTGTATTAACTGATGTGTTTTTAAACTGCTTTTAAAATTAGTTTTGTAACTGCATGTATCACATTTGTACATTTGGATTTCCGAAGGATCTTTGTGTGTTAACTGATGAACTTTCAGATGTTCCTTATATTTAGTTTTGTAACTGCAAGTATCACACTTGTACATTTTAATTTCTGATGGGTCTTTGTGCGATAACTGGTGCCTTTTCAAACGACTCTTATTTTTAGTTTCAAAACTACACGTTTCACACCTAAACATCTTGACTTCTGAAGGGTCTTTATGTGATAACTGATGCACGTTTAGATCGCTTTTATATTTAGTTTCATAAGTACAAGTATCACAGGTGTACATTTGGATTTCTGAAGGGTCTTTGTGTGACAATTTATGTTTATTTATATGGCTCTTATATTTAGTTTCATAAGCACATGTATCACACTTGTGCATCTGGACTTCCCACGAATCTTTGTGTTTTAACTGATGCGTATTTAAACTGCTTTTAAAATCAGTTGTATAACTACACTTCTCACACTTGTACGTTTTACTTTCTGAAGGGTCCTTGTGAGTTAATCGATGCGTTTTGAGACCAATCTTATGTTTACTTTCATAATTGCACATATCACATCTGTACATCTGGATTTCCGAAGGGTCTTTGTGCGATAACTGATGTCTTTTCAAGTGATTCTTATGTTTAGTTTCAAAATTACACACTTCACACTTCCACATTTGGATTTCTGAAGGGTCTTTGTGCGTTATCTGATGCGATTTAAGATGACCCTTGTATTTAGTTTCGTAAAGGCAAACATCACATTTATACATTTGGATTTCCGAACGGTCTTTGTGTAATAACAGATGCATTCTTAAACATTTAAGGTATTTAGTTTCATAACTGCATGTATTACACTTGTACATTTGGATTTCTGAAGAATCTTTGTGAGTTAATTGATGCATTTTCAGATGACCTTTTTGTCGAGTTTCATAACTACATGTATCACACTTGTACAATCTCACTTCTGAAAGGTCTATATTTATTGTGCGATACCTAATCAAATTTCTCCCGTAGTTGGTTTCATAACCACAGGCATCACACTTGTACATTTGCACTATGGAGGGGTCATCCTGTAGGAATCGATAGCTGTCCAGAGTTGCCTTAAGTTTAGTTTCAAATTTACAATTATCACATTGGTAGAATTGTTCATCTAATGAGGGCCCAAGCTTTTGAAATCTAAACTTTTCACTTTTGTGTATTTCAATATTGTGAACAGACGTCAATGTCGTAACATTTTCATTAAATCCAGTCATACATTTAATCATGTGTTCATTCTTTATTTCTCCTGTATTTTCTGAAATATGGTGCCTTTTATTTTCAATTGTTTCATCATCAAAGTCGTATGAAGGGGAATGACTGCAAAAAATTAATTTTTTTTAATGAAATACACATAAATCAAAATAAGCATTTAGAAAAATCAACTAGCAGGGTTTTCCTCCTAAAAGTTTGATTCCTCTTTTATGCACGAAAATACAAAAATGGAATTATATAGTTGATGTTTTTTTAAATGTTATAACACTGCTGAGTATTGGTTTCAACATAAGTGGTGATTTTGATAGAATTGATAAAGAATGCCCTGATCAAATGAAAAAGTTCGAAGATGAGGAATTGAAAGCATTACTGGACCAAGATTCATATCAAACTTAAGATGAACTTTCTGAATTGTTGAATGTTGATTGCGCAACAGTATCCAAACATTTAAATGCACTTGCAAGGCAAGGAAATTGGAAAATTATAATTACTCAAATTATTTAAAAATATATTTTTATGTAGATAACAAAACGTTTGAATGCTACCCTTATCATTTTTTAGTGGTTAGTAGGTGGCACGAGGCCGCAAATGTAATTTCTTCCATTGATTTTTTAATACAAATATGCCTATCTATTTATTGTATTTTATATTATTTTGTGAATGTAAATTAAAATAAAAAATTGGTAAGGAATATGAGTTTTTTTCCTGGATCTCGTTTAAAATTTTAAAAAGTATCCGGACTCCACCTAAAATTACTTGCCGACCTCTGCTCTATAGTTTAGTTAGTACTATTTTTCTTCGAATTTAGAAAAAAAATCATTGTTCTAAGTGGATTAGAAGCTGAGATATTTTTTTTTATTTAATTGGTGTGACGTTAATGATTAATATTAAGAGCCGAAATTTGGAGAGAGTATACATTACGAGCTATATTTTCATGTCCTACATTAATATTAAGATGAATTCAACTATTTAATTGCAAAAAAGAAGATAGCGGCGATGCGATCTATTATTCAGTCTAGCGAACGAGTGGGGAGAGCGAGGCGGCGCATGCGGGCTGCGCGCAGAAAACTGATCGAGCGGCTTCAAATCGATGGAGCTGGAAAAATTTACCATATCTTGGTTAATAATGAATGTATCGAGATGATTCTTTTTTTAATTTGGAGTAGCACGGAAATTCATGAACATTCTTTTTACAACACATATTTACCTGATATTTGTAAAATGTTAAGTAGATCTTTTTCTGTGCTTAAATTTTTATAGTAAATGAGGCGTCTGTTTATTGGCAGAGATGAAATTATTATATTGCCATAGTAAAAATAATACTAAAAAATATGTATCTTAAAATACGTTTTTGTGATATAAAAACATCTGATACAAGGCACGAATTTCCCCAAAAAACACATCTCAATCCGGAACTTACATACGTTTGATAAGTCATTAATTGTAAAGAAGTTAAAACAAGTTTAATTTCGAAATTAATTTATTATAATGATATTTCCTGGTCAGGCGTTTGTCAATTGTTACTCCAAAAATTTCAATTTTATTTTCATAAAGTAAAATATTAGATTCACTTAAATTTAAACTTAATTGGGCACAATGTTTTTGCCTGTTATTGAACCTTGAGTTTTGAGGTTTTTCAGGATTGAGATAGAGATGATTGGACTTTAATAAAGCATTAGTTGTTATTTCTAAAAACTCATCTGCATCATCAGACACTAACAAAAATGTATCATCGGCATAGAAGACAAAAGAGGTGGCAGAAACTATTCCACTAAATTCATAGAAAGTAAGATGTACATATCAAAATTTGTGTTTATAGTTTTAGAAATATTTGCGAACAAATATTTTTAGGACTTTTTTTAGTCATTTTAAGACACCCTTTACAAAATTTCCTTAACATTTCCTTACCTTCTACGAGCATCTTTTATTTCAATCTCTTCAGATTTAATATACGGCTGATTTTCAAAACTTTTACATTTTTCCTGAACATTTTGACTGTTCTCCAGCTCTTTTTCAATGTCTTCAATCTTAATGTAGCACTGCTTATCAACATATTTATTTATCTCCAGTGCATCCGAACCATCTCCTTCCAGTTTTATTTCGATATCTTCAGATTTAATATCAAACTGCATACCAACATTTTCATAGTTCTCACGCCCATACTGACCATTTTCCACTTTTATTTCAGTCCCCACGGTTTCAATGTAAGATGGGGTATCACCATTTTTATATTTCTCCCCTGTGTCTTGCCCATCTTCTTCCAGTTTTATTTTCATCTCTTCAATTTTAATGCAAGATTGTTTATCCATGTCTTTAAAAACCACAGTTTGCGTATAACGAGGTCCCTGGTGGTACTGACGCTCTACAATAAAAGGAACATTAATAATGTTAATTTCTGACAGAACATCTATCGTTTTTTCAGAAACTGAAGAAAAATAACTAAAAGTAGGAATTTTTAAATGAGCAGAAAAAAGAGTATTCATTAAATGTGAGTTAAATATAATCTTTAAAGTATAATCACATTTTAAATGTCAAATATGGCCGCATTTTTTTCATATTTCAGTTAGGTTGAGCAATTCAGGACACCCTGTATGCTTGTCAAGAAAGGATAAAGTTTTAGGTCTGTTTAGGCTAAGTTGGGGTGGCAATAGCTCAAAATAGCGCCTATGACAACGGTACATGTCTATCTCGATAAAATATTTTATTGATTATTATTTATTTCATTGATCTAAATGGGAGGAAAAGACATAATTGAAAAACATATCAGGAAATGCAAATAATATGTCCAATATAAAAAAAAATAGTATAACTCGAAAAATATATTTTTCTAGGACAGGCAGGTTCGGCTATTTTTGTATTTAATTGAAATCAGCTTAATATGCAATAAAAATATAAGGCAAAAATTTCAAAAAATAAGCCAGTTTTGATCATTTCGATAAGTGTAACCAATGGGCTACAAAATATGCCTGACACGAGGCTAGTGTTCATGACATCCATTGCCAGACGAAAGCTTGCTAGCTAGTTAACATGTTTACTGTTGTGTTCATGGTTAATCGAAGAGTGATATACTGGCAATAAAGTGGTGTTCTGTACCAAAATATACTAATACGTCTATTAAAATCTACTGCTGTGAACATACTTTTGGTGTCAATTTTTAATTCATTAAAAAATGATAATTTCATGCATTTGAATATGTGTAAAGCTTATGTGTGACGTCAGATTAATTGGAAATCGTTTTGTAAATCTCCCAAAAGGGAGAACTTCGTTTTGGCAAATACAGGCGTTATATATTTTCGTTTTACATAAATCTTTCACAGATGTGTTGCACAAATACTTGAGTTGTACATTAACTTGATTACAATTTTGGAAACCTATACTTACAGAATGTAGAATTTCCAAATACAAGCGTGGTGTAAGTGTACAGATTTTAGAGTTCTGAACAATATTTCTCGTAAACTAAGTTCGACCTGGACTGCATAAAATTAACTACAGATTCTGCAAATTTTAAGCAGTGTTTATAACCTTTAATATGTCATGTCATGAACTGTCAAATACAAATAAAGGGCGTGCAATATAATAGCGATTTCCATTGAAAAAACTGGTGCAAACTGAGTGCACCATTGACGTTCCATTGGTCAAGTCGGTGCAAATTTTCAAATTCCATTGGAAAACTAGAGCAACAGTTCTTGCTCTGAGTGCATATTATTTCGCACGAGGTCTTGGAGCTGGTGCTGGGGTCAGTGCAAGAAAAAATGGCGGTAAATATGGACAATTGGTAAATGTGGAAGTTGCTCTATTATTATCGTTTTTATCAAGTAGTAGTAGTAGTGATAATGATGAAATGTATGTTATACCAGTTATACGCAAACTGCCAAAAATGGAAGGATTCATTGAAAATGTCCTCTACAAATTTAAATAAGTGATCCGTTTCGTCTACAGGAATACACAATGTAACTTCCTCGTCGTTTATTTTAAATTTCAAGTTTAATTCTTGATTCATTTAACTCCCACAAAACCTCGACAGACTGACACTATCCCAGGAACCCATCTCCTGGAATCGACAAACACGATACCTTGGCGTGACGATGGACCAGCGTCTCATGTGGAAACCGCGCGCCATTATTCCATGGCTAGAAATTGGCCTCAATGATTTGGGATCGAGGGGGATTATCCCTCTTTATCCTGCCTCATCTCATGTAGGCCTGAACAGCCTTCGTAGGTGGGCCCCATCCGTCGTCTACCCCGATCGTAAATGCGGCCGCTTTGTGTTACCTCCTTTTGTCCTGGCTGGGCCCCGCCGGCTAGGGCTCTTTCTTCTGGCGCTCTTCTTGCTTCGTCGACTCGTATCATGTGGAAACCGCACATCGTGGAGACGGTGGCGCGAGCGAAGACCACCAGGGCTAGGCTCTATCCCTTACTCAAAGGTGGAAACACCCTCAGTNTCAGAAAAAAACCTGTTGTATTTTTCTCGGAAGTTTTGAGGTAATGTTACAAAGTGACCTCTACAAAAGTTGTAAATTTTTGCATGATCTATTGATCTACAACTTTTGTATTAGATACTTTTTTGTTTGATGTCAACTTTTGATAGAAATCCCAATGATACAATTTTTTATAACTTTACAACCCCCCAAATCAACCCTCCCCCTCCCCTGCTCACGCATTTATTTTTTTTAGGTTTATTATAAGCCCTTTTACCATTTCCACTTAAAAAAGTCCAGGTAACAATTTTTTTTTTCTCCAAGTGTAATTTGGTTGGACTATTATCAGGGACAGAGAAATGTTCTGTAATTTGTAAGCTTATGTCAAACTTATGCAACCAACTTTACACATTTACACAAAATGTTAGAATTCTGTAAAATGTCAATGTTCATCTAGCTTTCCAACTTCCAAACGTATATAATTATGCTTCTATACATGTTTTTAGAAAGATAATTACGGTAGTCGGACAATTTTGTAAAGTGTTTGATAGTTCAAACCTTAGAGCATAAATACTACCGCAGGCAGCGTCCCAGAGACCGAGTGTTTAGCAGAGGTTTAGAGAGATAGCATATACCTCCTATACTTTCTAAACCTCTGCTGCACTCTCGGCCACTGAGACGCTCCAGTAGTATATGCTCTTAGGTTCAAACGAATACATTCCAACCTAATCCTCTAATCAGTTCAGTTCACGTAGTTTACATCTAACCCTAATGAAAAAGGAATATAGCTTAGAAATTCATGCTAAACTAAAGGTGCATTCAGAATCAATTTGCTAGCCAACTTACACTTCGGCACGAAAGTCTGCACGGATTTGACCATTCAGAATAAAATTCAGGCGACACTTGGTACATGCCCGTTGGCTTCAACTTAAATCTGCTGTTTTTTTAGCTGTATACTTTAGGTTATATTTATATTTTTTGTTTTCAAAATTTTAAATTAAAATGTACAATAATAATCCATAATAATAATTAAAGTGAACCAAATCCAAGCTGCTCCCGAGTTTAGCGACGAATTTATTATAGTGTATCTCCAATTACAGACCACTATGATAAATCTGACAGATTATAAAATTGAAAAAAAATGGGCTCACTGAAACGAGCTTCACGAAGAAAATTTTCATAAAATTCATGATTTCTCCGGGGCGTTAGAATTGGTCTTACTCCCCGAAGACCCAGAAGTCTTTTAATGGAGTTTTTTTGCTCGAATTGCTATAATAACTGTCTTTTTAAGTAACAACAACAGCATTGTTACCTGTAAAAGAGGGGATAATAAGTTTCCCATTCTTCCATCGTGGTTAATCAACATAATGGTTAAACTAATTTCAAAATTCCATAAAATTAAAATTATGTTGACATTTTATTAAAACAATCATATTGCGCATATCCCGTAACCGGCACGGA